GTAGTGCACACACACACACACACACACACACACACACACACACACTCACACTGTGGGAGGATGTTAAAGTGGACATTGGATTCCCACTCCCAGACACCTTACCCACAGTGATTCTAAGACACACACACACACACACACACACACACACACACACAGGCCCAGGCCAGGACTTTGGCACCGGGCACATGCGTTTAATCCCAGCACTTCAGAGGCAGATCAGGGGAGATTTCTGAGTTTAAACGCAGCCTGGTCTACCTATCGAGTTCCAGGCCAGCCAGGACTACAAAGTGAGACCCTCTCACAAAAACAAACAAACAAAAAACCTGAAACCAAAAAAACTAGGTGAGTCAAACATGGGGTTGTTTTATTTAAGAGTCAAAGTTGACCTCTGTGAAAGTTTGCTGGCTGTGGGAATTTTAAGGTCGACTAGGTAAAAAGCAGTAAAATGTGATTATAGGAGACTGACAGACATCTTCATCAAATAAGCCATCTCACCACCACCTCCTCCACCACTGTTTTCTTATTTGGTTTTTGAGTCTCGGTGTGTAGCCCCGGCTGGCTTGGAACTCACTATGTAGACCAGACTGGACTTCAGCACAAATATCTGGCCCCCCTACCCCCACCCCTCCCCGGCCTCTGGAGTGCTGGTGTTAAAGGCATTTGCCATTACCCCACCCTACTGCATTTCAGAAAGTCTGCTTCGGCTGTCACTTAAGCTAGACTGGAAAAGAAAAAGGCCAGAAGTATAACACATTTAGATGGGTGGTTGTTAAAGTAATCCACAAGGGTAGTACTATAATGACCCATGTGTAGGGAGTGACAATGCAGATTGAAAAATAAGTGGATTTGAGATGAAATCACATGTCAAGAAAGGGTAGGCAAAAGAGACTAAGCTGTGCTCAAAGCTGTAAAGAGAAAACCAGAAATACGGTGTTGTAGACACCAAAATAAGGGTATTCCAAGAAGAGTGGCCTAGTGTTAAATACTGCTCCTAGGACAAGGAAGGACTGGAGGTGTCTACAAGATTTCGAATAAGGGAAACCCTAGATGACCTTGGTAAGAGTCACCTCAATGGCATGAGAATAAGTGGCAGTTCAGAAACATTGGACTGCCAGTAGGCAAAAATCATGATGGAAATGTGGAGTTATCTATCTAACCCAGACAGACAGAATGTCGCTTCCTGGAGGAGACACTACTTAATATACTTAATAACAAGTAGGGATTCTAGGTAGAGATCGCTACCCATGCTATTGTTCTTTAGGGCTGCTAAAAAAAGCTGTGTGGCTTTGGGCAGTTACTTTACCCATTTCTTTATAAAATGGGAGTGGATAATACTGAAAATACCATTGTACAGGATTATTGCCAACATTGAGATGGTTTGTGCAAAACATTTAGTATCCATTAGGGAGCTAACTACTGAATCTTCACACCTTCCCCCATTAAAACACCACAATGAAACAAAACAGATTTTTTAAAAATGAATTTAATCTCTCTAGAAACAGTGTACTGATTTTACAAATGTCCACATTTGGTTTTCAGTTCACCAAGATGATGTCAGTACATCTAGTGAAATGGAGCCTACCTCCTTCAGTCCATCTGCCTCTGGAAGAAGCTAGACTGCCGAGGCACTGAGTACAGAAGCTAACAGAACTCAGAATGATATGACGAGCAGAAATGGTTAGTGTGACCCAACATTTTACATGCTCTACTATTACACCAAATATGGTAATTTGGAAGGTGAATTAGCAAACAAGAAAACCCATTTGGATAGTGTGAGTTTGCAAACCAGTACCTTACCCCTCACATTAACAACCTGTATAGAACAAAATGCTATTTTAAAGGTCTGTGGTTTGTAAGTCTTCTCTTGTAGCTTTTGTAAAAAAAAAAAAGTATCAAAACTTGTCTTTAAATATATATATATATATATATATATTTATACAGGTAGCTTTTTTAAAAATTAGTTTGAGAGCACAAAATGTTTGCAAATGCGGTTCCTGCTGATTCTTAAAACTGTGCACATGGTGAACAGTCTGTGTGAAGCTTCCTTTAGTTAACTGAAAATTTGGAGCTTTAATTTCCTTCACCTTTTAAATTCTTCACGTCCTGAAAATTCCTAAATACCCTAAAAATATAGTGTAAGGAGACTCTGACACTCTATCTTCATGCATTTATGGGGAAGGAAATTATATATTTAGAAATTACTAACTTACTGATGTTTTGTGAAGTGGTGAGTGTGTCAGGGTGGGAGTGGTCTTTGTATTGCTGTAGGATTAGAGTTGTTTTCTCCTTCACCCAATAGCACCCAATTGTACTGTGACTGGGATACCCTTTTATCTTTTCTTTCTCCCAGTTGAGAAAGATCTAAAAGGTAAGCTCAACAACATGGCATGCTTCTGTTCAAAGTCCCACTGCCCTTACATTAGTTTTCACTAACCGTATCAAAAATCTCTGACTCCAATAAATAAAAAGCAGCCAGCATTCCCCATGGCCACTGGAAAGCTGGAGGTGGAATAAGGCTATGCCTTCGAAGTGCTGGCAGTAAGGTTTCCATGATGCCTTGTACACAGTAAATAACCAAAGGAAGGTCTGCTTCATTAAATCAGAAATTACTTTATAAAGTGCTTACACTGAACTTGTCTTTCCATTCAGTTTCACTTCTTGCCAGCTCTCCTTGAGTTCTTTATTCCAGGTATAATGAAATATTTGTTGTTCCTTAAAACCCTGCTGCTGATTTATGCCTCAGTCTTAGCTCAGTGTCTCCTCTGCCAGAAGCAGCCTCAACACCATTCTTTAATTTTTAACACTTGGCTTTGGATCTCTTCTATGAAGACCCAATTTTTCATCTTTTCAGGTAAAATGACCCATCTTTTTTGTTGTGCCCTGGCAGTTTCTAAGTAAAATCTCTCTCTCTCTCTCTCTCTCTCTCTCTCTCTCTCTCTCTCATCCATGTGTCTTCTACTGCAGTGAGCTTCGAAAGGATGAAATTTAATTGACCTTTGATGTTTGCAATGCCTAGCACATAGCACCTAGTGAATAGTTTTTGAGAAATAAGTATGTTGTGAATACGTAAGATTAACTGAAGGCCTCAACAGTATTAAGAGCCATCAACTTATTTCTCATCTCATTACTTTTACTCCTTGAAGTCAGAAGCCATCTCTCTCTCTCTCTCTCTCTCTCTCTCTCTCTCTCTCTCTCTCCCCCCGTTTGTGTGTGTACACATAAGTATGTTCTGAAGAGTAAACAAAGTTTTAGTTTCTTGTTCAGGAAGGCCATTTTTGGTAGTGCCTTCATCAATCCATTGGATAGATAGTCATGGAAGAGGAAGCAGGTTTAATACCTTGTTCAGGTAGCCCAGAGTTGTGTTCTGGAGAAGGGAGAACAAAAGGACTGGACTGGCTTCTTTTTAATAAATAGTTTGTTGAGTTTTCTGCCCTCTTGATTTCTCATTTAATTATCCTTCTGGCTGTTATTGGCTGTGGACACATATGCACAGTGGCAAAAGGCATCAGAAAATTTGAAATACACCCCAGAATGAGTCTCAAAAAGTCTTCAAGGGTAGGAGGACTTGTGGATCTACTCCTCAGACTGCTTCTGATCTACTGCTATGCATGTATTTGTGAGTCTGTTGTAGAGTGCTTCGGAATCCCCTGCTTTCAGACTGTGGGTTTAGCATAGTCAGGGAATATGGTATTTCTAAGTTGTGAATTTAATCATCTTTTGGAAATCCTAGACTGTATGTTTCAACCTTATTTTAAAGTTCAGAAACTATGCTAAAGTTCAGAATAACTACTGCTAGTTATTCCAGTTTCTTTGGAGGCAGATCTTTTTTCTAAAGCTGCTTATTTTGTATAAATTTTGATGCTTTCACTTTCACCATTTTTCTTCAGTTAAAGTTGATCTTCCTTTCCATTCTTGAATGCATATAGTGAGTAAGCTCCATAGGAGTTAGCCACCTGTTCTTGAGACGATTTGGAATTAATCAGAGGCCAACTGCATTTATTCAATGAATGTCTCAGGACTATCAACACATGTATACCAGAAAGAAGTTGTCAGACATAATGGCCACACTTAGAACACAGCCATTTTTTTTTTCTAGAGGTTAGGAAAACATGAGTGACATAGAGCAAGCTTCTGGGAACAGGATGGTAGAACTACAGATGGCCTGCCTGGAAATTTAGAGGGTGTCAAGCTGGTGAGACATTCAAGCTTCACTGATTTGGGGGAAGCTGGAGGGTGGGAACAGGACACATTTTAAGTGTTAATTTCCAGATAGGTCAAAGGTAGATACATGTCCTCTGCTCCCACTTAAGACAAATACTTCCTTGTTCTACTTGTCTGGGTCATTTGGCGGGCATGAATCAGCAGAACAGAAGAATCATGGAAAGACCATACTTTGGAAGAGAAAGCTCATGGGGGACTGAATGCCTTCTAGGACTATGGGATTATGTTTCCAATAGTGGATCTCACAGACAGAAAATGGCATTCTCCCCACCACCACCCCCAAGGCTCAGAAGAAGTAAAGGTGGTGTTCATAATGAAGAAAGATCTATATAATAAATACCCACAGTTTTCCTTTTATTTATAAAGCAGTAAAACAAATCCTCGTGTGGACACACGCCCAATATGCTATAATATCTCCTATGGTATTTCCCCCCAAATAGAACTTTGGATGTGGTCATCTTTTTGGACTTAGTTTTATCCATGTGAACATATGATGGTAAGAAACATGTTTATTATTTTAAAATGTTTCCCCTACTTAAGAAAATGATAGACGGTAAGGGGATGAAGAAACGGATGTAATCAAACCTATTCCAAAATCCTTGTCCTCGTTCATATCGACTCAGAGGTTCAGTGCCGGAGCCAGTTCTTACAGTAATTTGGGAACCCTAGAAATGCCTTCACTTAGCTCTAGAACAGTGGCTCTCAACCTTCCTAATGCTGGGACTCTTTAGTACAGTTCCTCATGTGGTGGTGACCCCAACCATAAAATTATTTTTGTTGCATTTCATAACTGTAATTTTGCTGTTGTTATGAATCGTGATGTAAGTATCTGTGTTTTCCAATGGCTGTAGGTGACCCCTGTGAAAGGGTCATTTGAGAACTGCTGCTCTAGAGGCTCAGCCTTTAGGTGCTTCAGAGGAGAGTCAACCCAAGTCCTCGCTGAGCTCTGCTATCTTGAGCTCCTGGAGGCTTCTGGACACTGACCTAAGCCACAGATCAGAAAGCCTAGGTGGTGTCATGACAGCCATGGATGAGCTGAAAAGCTTCTTGTTAGCTCACCAAGTCCTCAGGGGTAGCCAGAGGAGAACATATCTACCCTTTCTGCCACATGTGTGTGCAAACTGTGGCATCTATTTTCTGAATGATGTTTCTGAAGGTGTCTCTGGAAACCAGACACCCCTCTTGTGGACCATTTTAAAATAATTTTGTTTTTATGTATTTGAACAATAGTCATAAGCGTGCCTCTTCTCTACAGATTTTTTTCTTTCATACAGACATACACACATAAACACAGAGTCTGTGCAGTGGGCCAGTCATACCAAAAATAAATACTCTCACTTCTCTAAATTATTTATAGAGCTAACCTTACTTTTGAAATATGTTAATAAATAATCTAAATGAGGAAGGGAGTTGAAGTGTCCTTTCTTTTTATACTTATGTTGATGGATAGCCACAAAGCATAATTTTATTTACAAAAAAACCAAGCCCCTCAAACTTAAAAAAGCCCTCAAATCAAACATCCTCTGTAAATATAGTATTCAAATGATGAGTAAAGTTTGTACCATTGGCCCCCGTTTGGTTATATACATCATGTTAGTCACTCAGCAGTAGCTGTCCCATGAATTCTTCATGGGTAGTGCAACCAGTTAAAAAGTGTATAAAACATTATACATATAAAAACTTTCACATCCTTTGGATGTTTGCAGTTCATCATAACTTTGTGGTTACCTTTCCGCAACATAAATTTAAAAAAAGTCACACACACACACACACACACACACACACACACACACTCACACAGACCCATATATAGAAATGGCATTCATCATCCAGTCACACCCCATCCAGAGAGAGTAGTGCATAGGACTGAACTCCATGAGGTACGACGTGGGTGGTCCCATCCTCAGGGCAGTCCATCATCTTCAAGACTTAATGCCACTCGCTGGGGAAATAGATCAAGAAATCATGATTAGATCTATAAGAGGCAATCTCTACTGAGAATATCTGCAAAAGTACCAGACATAGTATTACTTTATAGAGATTAAATGACATAATTTTCAAACTGCCAATGATAAGATTTCTCATACTTATTTTAGAGATGAGAAAACCGAGGCTCAACTATACCACTCTGGATCACACAGAAAACGACTGAACTAAAGTTCAATCCCATGTCTGTGTAGATCTAGAAGTGTAGCTTTCCCCATCATTTTGTTCTTTCCTTCCAAAAAGAAGGGTAGCAAAGATCCAAACTTAGGTTCCTTGTAGGATCTCAAGTTGGGTGAAGTTAAAGAAGGTTAAATGTCAAATGTTCAGTCTTGAGCAATTAGCCACCTGTCTCCAGAATACCAATCACAATTAGGTGGGTACTGTGCCATACCCTTCTTAAGTGATAAAAGAGCATTGGCAAGCAATACAAGTAATACATCCAGTCCCTGTCTCCCTTGCCCCTTGTTTCTAGTTGCTGTATGTTCAATTCTCTTCTGCCTCAAATGGCTGACCAATGGCTCCGTTCCCTTAAGGGTTAAAATTCTTTCCTTTACCTGATGTAAAAGCTCTTCATTTATATCTCTTCATGATCACAGCTCTATATTAGTCTCAGAGCTCTGGACAGGAAGGCTCCAAAACTTTTTTTTGAGTAAGTGAATCCCTTTCTTCTCTTTATGCTTTCTTTTCTAAGATACATATCTAACTTTCCGTAGTTTGTCCTGACAGAACCTTGACTGCTACTTTCCCCATTTCCTGGGCACCTTCCTTGGATAGACCCTAGTTTCATTATGTTTCTCCAAGCTATATGATTTGGGGATGCCTTACCTCACTTTCATAAGCCTTAGTTTCATCAATTGTTAATGAGGTTAGGATCTACCTCATGTGACTGGTGAGAAACCAAATGAAATAACATATACATGCTACCCAGCAAGTATGACATCTGGAGTAGTGTAGTCAAAACTAGCCAGCATAAAATAAGCATGTTTCTGGACGTGCTACATATGACAAAAAAAAAAAAAACAAACATTGTCTTTCAAGTTAATTTTTGGTTATTTTAATTTCTCCATGCATACTTGATCATGCTTTAACTAACAGTGATATTGTCAAGCCACCCTCTTATTCTTGCCAAACCTATCTCTAGGCCAAAGACAGGCCCCAGTAGTGATGGCAGAGCTACAGGAGAAAAGGACAGAAGAAGACAGGTGGTTGAGAATTCTGATTTTCAGGGCTTCAAGGACATGCACCCCATGACAGAGTGGAAAGAACAGGGGCCTCTGTGCATACTGCCTGGAGTTTAATATTGGTTCTGCCACTTTCTGGCTATGATCTCAGGAAAGTTATTAAAATTCTGTTTCTCCGTTTTCTCAACTGCAAATGGAGCTAATATCACCTCCAATGGTAACTGTGAAGACTAACTGAGAAAAAGACATGTGAGGCACTGAGAGCAGTGTGTGACACATAGTAGACGTTTGCTAAATACACTGTGCTTCCTCCATTTCTCTATTTCTCTGACTAGAAGGAGCTTATCACACAGGCCTTCTATTAATCAGGGTAACTTCACTGCATCATTTCCTGCTCTGGAGATGATGTTACGTTAGTGTAACTTACAAAATGCTTTTAAATTTTATAACTTCAGGAAGCAGAGAGATTGGGATTATCTGATTTCACTAATAAATGTAAATAGACAAGACCACAGGGCTATGGAACAGTGGAACTGAGAGTCATCCCCTCCAAGCTCAAGGCTTCTTGTCCTGTGCCTTCTCTGATCCCTTAAAAATCTGTTTGCTTGCACTGGCCAAAATTAAGGAGACTTAAGGCCACCTCCTAACCCTGCAACCCTCTTCAACTTTGTTTTATACGTCTCTCCTTTATAAACAGTCTGCTTCAACAGCAGCTCGTCTCCCACACATTCAGTGACATCATCCCACATGCCATTTCCTCTGTCTGTGGCAAGCCCATTCGTCCTCTGCCCCATATCAAGCTTACAGTTGCAGCCTTCCAAAAGCAGAAAGCCTTCTAGGATTTGCTGTATCTGCCTAGGTTCAAGGCCCTCACTCACCAGCCCCTCAGGCTCAGAGTGGCACTGCCCTACCTTGCACTTGACGACAGGCAGCTCGGAAAGAGGGTTCTTCGGGAGTTGGTGCAGCTGTGACCTTGGTTCCCCCGGCAAGACAAAAAGCTCCTTGAGGGCAGGGGCTGGGTCTTCCAGGTCTCTGGTCTCCCCAAGACAGGGCTCTGCCCACAGTGGGCGATCAAAGCTGCTGATTGCCTGACAGGGGGATGGACTGGATGACCTTTGAGGTCATACTCAGCCCCCTGACTCTGCTGTACAACAATGACACCTGGTCTAACCACTTCATAATCCTTGTTCCCCAGTAGGCCATGTCCTTTCGTGCCTCTAAGCGTTTGCACTTGACTCTGTCTGGAATGTCATTTCCATTCTTCCTTACCTAAAAGTTACTATTTTTACAGACACTACATCTGTTACTGTGAGTCATTGTATACCCGGGTTCCTCAGACAGAATTAGCAGCTCCCTTTCTGTGCTTCCATGCCATTCATTCATTCATTCAGTGCTTGTTAGAAGCCAGCTGTCCTATGCTAAGCCCAGGAAAACAGACTGACCACATCAGATCCTGCCCTCAGAGTCTAGGAGGTTAACCACTAAGCAAAAAGTAAGTGGTTTGTAGATGTAGAGGCCCAGCCAGGAGAGTGTGGAAGAAGAAAGAAGCCCAGGAAGGCTTCCTAGAAGGGTAGATTCTTCAACTTCCACCCATGATACTTAGCATCTCTAACTCCCTCATCAGCAACTTGGGAAGTGATGCCTTCCTTATTAATTCTGAACACTTGATGTTTAATGTGGTGTTTGGTATTTAACTGGCATTCAGAGTTTGTGGGAATTCATATATGTATGGATTAAATAGCCAGTTACCCTTCTGCAGAAAGGCATTTGGCTTCTTAACTGCCAGGAAGAGCCTCTAGGTAAAAGGTGGTCCTGATATCTGCTATCTCCCCCTCACCTGCTTCAGTAAGTCTGTGTTCTCCCAGAGCCAGAACAATGGCTGATATGTGGCGGGTTCTTGATAAGATGGATGGAAGGAAGGAAGGAAGGGGGAGGAGGGAGGGAAGGAGAGAAGGAGGGATGGAGGGAGGGATAGGTGAGAGGACAGAGGGAGGGAAGGAGTGCTCATACTGAGGAACACTTACTGCGGGATAGACATGGCCAATTTGAGCAGTCCTCCCTATATGAAGCTCGTCTTCATCTTCTTCTTCCGTGGTTTTCCTGTACACCGGGTTGTCAAAATTCATGCTCTTGGTGTTCTTCCGCTTCCAGTTTCTCCAGATCAGGTACCCACTCATACACAGCAGGGCTATTACCACTGGAAGAAAGGACACATCACACTGAACAATCAGGAGCTCTGGCCCAGCATCAACACAGATCTTGTCACCTCTCCAACTTAGCTACTACGCTTTGCTTCCCAGTACTGTCTCTATATGCTCATTTTCTCCTGCTTGAAAGTTCTCTAATCACTGCTTTCTTTTATTCATTCTTCAGCTCAAATATAAAGTCTTTCCCAACTACTCTGGAAAGACTCTGCTATTGCCTTAGGCATGTTCCTTTGTTTTGTTTTTTGTTTGGTTTGGTTTGGTTTTTGAGATAGGGTTTTTTTAAGACAGGGTTTCTCTGTGTAACAGCCCTGGCTGTCCTGGAACTCACTCTGTAGAACAGCCTGGCCCGAACTCAGAAATATGCCAGCCTCTGCCTCGCAAATACTGGGATTAAAGGCATGTGCCACTAACGCCCAGACCTTCTGGAACTCTTAAAAAAGCCTCAAAATCCATGTCTTCCCAAAGCTAAGACTCTATCAGATGAAGAGTGTCTCTAGAAGGATATAAAAAGACAATATAGGTTTGAGTTGAAGGCTTCAGAGCTAGGTAAAAACACTAAGCAGCTTAGTCCTTGTTGGACAGATGGGAAGTCATGGCCCAGCACACTCTCTGTCTCTTGGCCAGAGAGAACAAAGGAAAGGGTGTCCTATAGGTCCAGGGCCAAGGTCTAGGAAGGAAGCCAGGCTTGATTCCAAGGACAGGTCTTCTACAACTGGTGGAAGTGCAATCAAAGAGTTAGATCAAGATGATGGGAATGGGCAAGAACTCAATGGCCATGTGGGAACTGCAGAGGTAACCCAGGGTGGCCTACCGGAAGGGAGTTTCCAAGATGGTGCCCATCAAAGTAAGTAGTGGTTCTGATTTCTGTTTGAATAAGAATATCATAATAAAGATAGCAATGAGGAAATCTTAGAATGTAAGAGAAACAGGTAAAAAGACTATCATCAATCAGTATTAAAAGATCAATAGCTTTCTTTTTAGTAAGCAGTAACACATTAGAATCCCACATGTAGTAGCTCCCACCTGTAATTCCAGCACTCAGGAGTCTGATAGGAAAATTATCATGAATCTGAGGACAGTCTAGATTACATAGTGAGCTCAGGCAAGTCTGGCTTACAGAGTCTCTGCAACCCTGTCCCCAAAAAACCTACCCAAACAAACAAACATAATCCCCCAAATAAATAACCAATTAGAAAATGTCATGGAATAATGAGCACATTCATAATAGCCCTGTAGAAGTTACAAAATACCTGGAATAACCTAACAAGAAGTAAGCAAATGCCATATGATCTACCAAGTTCTGCTAAAGGACATAAGAGAAGGCCGAAATAGAGATGTCAGGTCTTAGATGGGAAAGTCTGATACTGTAAAAATGTAAATTCCCTATATATATGTTCAATGAAAGCATGTTCAATGAAAATCCTATCATAAATTTTACAAAATAGCACAATTTATTCTAAAGTTCATCTAGAAGAGAAGCCAGATAAAAAACATTTAAGAAAATGTTTACAACAATCACATTTCATAAAGTATTGCTAGTCAGATAATAGGTGAAGGGGACAGGCTAGTGTGTATAAGTATGTAGTTTACAATAAAGATGATCACTCAAGTTAGAAGGAGATGATGGATCCCTAAAGATAATGGGTTTGGAGAATCTATATACAGCTACTAGAAACAGCCATAGATTAGAACTGGTATATCAATTAGAAAAGAAAAAAGAGTTAAATCTCTACCTCATGCTGCACTCTAAAATAATAAATATCCAAGCACTGAAAAGAATTTAAATTAGAAGAAAATATTAGGAGACGTTTTAATAATTCAGAATGAAGTGGGCCTTTCTAAGAAAGACAGAAAATCCAGAACTCACAAAAGATTAACAGATGATACTTAAAAAATATAAATTTATGAATATGAAAGATGCCATGAGCAAATTTAAAATCAAATGTCAGACTGGGAGAAAACATGTTTATATATTATTATGGTTTTAATATTTATTATGTATTTCTAAAAATAAGATAACTGAAAGAAAAAAATGAGATTATGAGTAGACAAATCATACAGAATAAAATGCAAATAAATGGCTAGGGAGCTTATGAAAACCTAACTCTACTTCTTATAGAAATAGTATTCATCCTTTCCCTTCAGATTAGTAGACATTTAAATATTGATTCTTTCAGAGGGAGTTACAGCAACCAGAAAGCACGCATAGATGGCAGGAACAGGGTCACTCAAAACAAACTAGAATGGTAGTCTCTCCACCATCTTTTTGTTGACCCCTTTCAAGACCAATTTGAATGCTATCTTCTTTAGAACCATCACTTTCACTCTGGGACTACCTTTCTATTTCCTCCACATGAATATCAGGATGCTGTTACACCACACTTATGTATCTGTCATGCCTCTGTTATAGCGCATTTTATATACTGTGCATTAGCATCTAGTGTAATTGAGTTATAAAAGGACCGAGTCTGTAAGGGAGATGTCCTGGGCTAATTTTATGCCAACTTGACACAAGCTAGCATCATTTGAAAGGAGGGGCCTCAATTAAGAAAATGCCTCCAGCCAGGCAGTGGTGGCATACACCTTTCATCCTAGCATTTAGGTGGAAAAGGCAGGTGGATCTCTGAATTTTAAGTTAGCCTGGTCTACAGAGCGAGTTCCAAAATAGACAGGGCTACACAGAGAGCCCCACCACCCCCCTCCAAAAAATGCATCCATAAGATTGGGCTGTAGGTTAAGTCTATAAAGCATTTTTCTTAATTAATGATTGTTGGAGGAGGGCCCAGCTCATTGTGGGTGGGACCATCCCTGGGCTGGGGGTCCTGGATTCTATTAAGAAAGCAGGTTGAGTAAGCCATGAAGAGCAAGCCAGTAAGCAGCTCTCCCCTATGGCCTCTGCATCAACTCCTGCCTCCAGGTTCCTGCTCTGCTTGAGTCTGTCCTGACTTCCTTCCATGATGAACTGTGATGTGGAAGTGTGAGCCACATAAACCCTTTCCTTCCCAAGTTGCTTTGGTCATGGCATTTCATCACAATAATAGCCCTCAGACAGGAGATAAACCTAAGAATGGGCAATCCAACTCAAAAGTACTGCTAAGATATGAGGCAGGTATGAGAGGATGGATATATAGGACACATATGAATATCAAAGTGAGAGAGAATGAGTCAGCCCCAGGTTCTGAGTCTTAATCAGGATTTCTCTGCATACTGAACTCCGAATTCAAACTCCCAGACTCTTTCCATGCCTTGTCCACTCCTGGCTTTGCTCATGCTTTCCACTGCTTGGGCTACTCGTGATTCTTCATTTGGCCAACCCAACTCATCAAGTGGGAAACCTTGCCTGTCCTTTTCCCTTCAAGACCAAGTGATTCCTTGGCATTTTCACTAAACTCAGTAATATACTTACTCCTATGATTTGCCATGTCCTAATGAACTTACCTGTGTTATATGTGTCCCTTGGATAAGACTGCTGCTTTTTGAAATTACTCTTATTTATTTATTAGGGCGGGGAGGTGGGCAATGCATGCTACAAGGTAGGGTGTGTGGAGATCAGAGGACAAGCTGCAGGAACCACCTCTCCTTCCACCATGTGACTTCCAGGGATAGGACTCAGGAGTTAGCCTTGGTGACTCGTGTTTTAAGTTACCTTGCTAGACCATAGACTCACAGGACAGGCCCATGTCTTACACGTTCTTTCACTACTTTCCTGTTCCTTATTAGAGTTTGGCACAAAATAGTTGCTTGATAAATGTTTATTGAAGACCAAAGAGAAAGAAAACAAGACAGGATTATTATTTCAAGAAATGGCAAGCAGTTTGCTCAGCAGTTAACAAACATATAATTCCCTATCATGTGCCAGCCATTGCTAGGAACTTGGGAGAGTGGTGAGCAAGAGACTCATGCTGGATCCCCAAGGAGCATTTATTTAGTCTTTATATGGTATGAGTTCTGGGGTGTGAAGTGTGTGTTGGGGGGCAGGGAGATGCACCTGGATGTTCACATAGGGCCAGAAGCTGAAGAACACTGTGTGCCATGCAAGAACCCAAATTGAACCAGGCAGCATGCAAAGTTCTTTATCCCTCTAGTGTCTTTCCCAAAGCTTAGGCAAAGAGTCCTTTTACCCTCCAGTGATTGGGGCCACACTCACCTATGGGCACGATGATCCCAATGACAGCAGCAGTGACTGTTGAGCCCATCTGGCTGTCTTCATTCCCATCTGTAAAACATTTAAAGAATTATGCTCTATCACTGTGAATCTAGCCTCACTAGCCTCAAGCTGTAAGAACCATCCAATATCTTCTTGTCCTCACTCTAAAATAATGGTCCCAGCTATTATATAATAATTCAGCCTTACTAAATTTCATCAAAATTCCTGGGGCAAATAGGACAGAAGTTATTTCTGTTTCACACATGGCAAACTAAATTTTGATAAATGCAGGGTTAGACTTGAACTTAGGACTCATGACCCAAGCCCCATACTCTTCCCATAGCATCAGTATGGTAGGAAGCTAGGGGCTGGGCATAGCAGGTGAGTGCTTAGGTCTCCTTGTTGCTCATACAAAATCCAACACATTGTCTTCACTGTTTTTGGTGAGCGGTCTGTTATATGCATTACTAGCTTGTTTTCCTAACAGATTAAAATGAGATACACTAGAATGTAGTAGAGTGTAATCAGAAGCATAGGGCTTCGTGGGTTCAAATTCTATGTCTGTTACTCATTACTTGTGTGGCACCATGAAAGTTAATATAATATTAGACATTTAATGTACATTATATTTATCTTAAAATATTTTCTACCTTCTCAGAATACATTTAAGGATTAAATGAGGTGATTCATATAAGATACTTAGCAAAATGTCTAGCTGGCTTTGCCTACTTTAAGAGGGTAGTGAGGGGGGTAGGAGCTGTTATAAGGGCTAAATTTAAAAAGACATTGTAGGGCATGCTTATAACCCACCACTCAAGATGGTAAGGAAAGAAGACCTCAAGTTCAGACTAGCCTGGGCTACATAGTAAGACCCTATCTCTAAATAAAGGGTTCTTGTTGTTGTTAAAGACACATAAAAGCATATTCTTAAACTGAAGAGTGCTTGGAAAATATGCTGTATTTTAAATAAATTTCCTTTGCTAACTCACAACCATCTTCCCTGTGACATCTGTACAGCATTATCCCCTGGGGTCCCATGAGAGCCCTCTGGGGTGTGAAGAACATCTAGCCATATTTGCTCCACATAAGGTGATGAGTGCTCCCTGGCAATGTCCCCAAACCCATCCCCTCAATCTATTTCTCCAAGTTACCTCAGGAAAATCTGACTAACCAGAGAGCTGTGCTGCTTAAAAAAGCTAACTGGAGGGGGCTGCAGAGATGGCTCACTTGTTCTGTGGCGACTGCCTGTAAGAATGAGGATCTGAATTCTGCTCCCCAGTACATGTAAAGCCTGACATGGCATCATGTGTCTATAGTACCAGCACTGAGAAGGCAGAGACAGGAGGAGACCTGAAGCTTGCTGGCCAGCCAGTTTAACTCAATCAGTGATCTCCAGGCTCTGTGAGAGACTCTGCCTCAAGAATTAAGATGGAGGCCTCATTGAAAAGGCTCTCAAAGTTGATCTCTGGCCTCTACATGCACACACACACACGCACACCCATACACATGAACATGTATACCAAAAGAGAGAAATTAAAACAAAAACAAAACAAACAACAACAATAACAAAACCCCCCAAAAGAAGCTAATTGGAAGCACTAATGTCTTCTTGCTGTGATGTGCTAGAACTTCCTGAGGCCTGTGAGAATTGCTCAGAGCTTTTCCCCAGATGAGAGGAAATGGAATTCCACCTCCTCTGCAAATGCCAGGGTGGAGTACTCTATTTTAGAATCCAGCTGCTGCTGGCAAAACAGCCCTGATCTGAAGGGTGTCACCAGGTTGCTTGGTTTCTGGGCCAGCCATGTATGGGGAAAAAATGTGAGGGATGGTTTAGCATTTAAAATGAACTCCCCATAGTAATTACAAAGGTATTTTCTGGTTAATGAGATAGAGCAGTTCCAACAGTTCCAACAGAGACAATTATCACTTCCAATGATTTAAGAAGTGGTAAGCTTGATTATTTTATCCTAGGGTTTAGAAACAGGCACAAGCAGATCACATTATGGACGTTACTGTCTAGGCAGCTCACCAAGGCTGCTGGGAGCTCAGACTGGTGCTTTCCAAACTTGATGACACCCACCTCAGGAATTCATGGAACACTGACATACACCTAGGCAGCAGGCATTTCCATTTACAGTGCCTCTTTTGCCCCACCCCTCTTGAGGCAGGGTCTTACCATGTTGCCTTGGCTGGCCTGAAACTCACAGAGATGCACCTGCCTCTGTCTCCTGTGTGCTGAAATTAAAGACACATACCACCACACCATGCTCCTTTGCCTCTCCTGATCATCTTTAGAAGCAAGTAGTGGGTAGCTTATTATTTGCTCCTTTTAGGAGAAGAAACTGAGGCTCAGGGATGTGATGAATATTTGCCTCCAAGTCCTTTGAAAGTTATGGACACCCAAGTTTCCTCAATCCAGAATCACCCCTTCCCTCCCTTACTTCCTCTTAAGAGGTGGGCATTACTTAGTTCTGGTAAGATCTCCCTTCCCAGCCACCCCCAACCTTCATCTTGGCTTCCTTAGGACTCCCCCAAGTCATGAAAAAAATGCAAAGGCTTACAGTGCTGGGAGTGGTTGCTGGTTGCAGGGCTTAGGGTAGATGGGCTGATGCTGGGAGCCCTGGGGACACTAACTGAGTTTGGGACAGCAGCTGTCCAGCTTGGTGTCTCTGTACTGTGGTTCTGGTAGGTAGGGTCATGGATAGTTGTTCCAGTGGCTCTTGTGGTGGCAGGTACTGTCCTTGTCATAGCAGAGGCTAACGTTGTAGTTGAGGTAGACTGAGGTGCTGGAGGGGAAACACCAGGAAACACTTAGACAAAGCAGTTTGTTATTTAGTGCCTAAATTTTGCTGCTATGAGTTACATGGAGGGACTCATCCTTTAGGTTTAGCTCAGATACCACTTTTGTGAAACTTTCCCTCATCCCCCTGAATGGGTCATGATCTTCTCTTCAGCTGAATCCTGAAATGCTAGCACTTCACTTTGTTTTGATGAGTCAGTGAAACAGTGCTGTAGAAATAAGTGTGGAAGAGGCCTCTGTAAAAGACTAAAGCGAGCAGAAATCATACAAATCTATAAGCATTTTATCCTAATATATAGTTACATCATTGAGTTTAGATTCTTTGCATTAAACAATTGAACCTGGCCATTATAAGTGATGCAATGACTTAATGTTCAAGCCAAAGGTGTTGGCTGTACATAGAGACGGGAAATCAACCCTGTTTATGAAGATGAAGTGCTATCCCACCATTAGTTGCAACTGTACTGCAAGGGCTTCTGTGCAATGTGCTAGGTCTTGCTAAGAAACAGGCAAGGACAGCCACTTGTGTAGTCAGTGGAGATGTGGAGATTAAGGGTTCTTAACTAGAGATTTTCTTTAATTTTTTAAAGATTTATTGTTTTGTTTTTTATCTATGGGTGTTTTGCCTGGTACCCTCAGAAGTCATAAGAAGGCATCAGGATTGGATCACCTGGAACTGGAGTTAAGGTTGGCCATGAGCCACCATATGGGTATTAGGAACCAAACCAGGGTCCTCTGCAAGAGCAACAAATGCTCTCAACCACTGAGCCATCTCCAGCCCCATTAACTTGAGGTTTTTCAAGGGACTCCAGAAACTTCCTGAAAGTTGGCTTTAAAATACTTTATGCATATGTGCACTTTTCTGGGAGTTAGGAGAGCCTTCGAAGGCTCCCAAGAACTCAAGTATTCAAGGAAGGTTAGAAAAGAGGAATATGCAAGTGTGTCAAGCAACCAGGGAAGACAGAGGAAAACCAGGGGCATATTGTGTCCTAGAAGCCAAGGGTAATATCTGTCACGAACCTCGGTAGCATCTCTTCATGTCTGGGCCCAGCCACATTGAGTCAGGACAGGCACATGTGTACTTGGGAGAGTGATTGGAGATCTGAGGAGCAGGAAGGCACAGGTATTCACAGCCACCATTGGGCTGGGCACTCAGTTCACAGGCATCTGCAGCTAATGGCAGGGGGAGGGGGAGAGAGACACAACATTGGGATGCTGACAGGCCATGCCAGGTCCTCTTGTCTACCAATAATGAGATTCCACCAATTGAACTTGCTCAAAAACCTTTCTCTACTTTTATGTGGCCACCTATCAGCACAGTACTCGGTACTTTATTCTTATGCTTATTCAGTTCTTACAGTTCTGAGAGGTAAGTGTTGTGTTCCTGACTGACAGATAAGCCTATGCTCAGAGAACAAATGTACAAATCACAACTCTAGGAATTTTGGAGACAGACTTTAAATTGAGGTATACTGATTCCCAAACTAAAACTACCACCCAACCCTTTACTGTTTTTGTCTTGATTTTTCCTCCATGTTTCATGTCATCTCTTCTTTAAATTCCTAGAATTAGAATCAGGCACCAAACTTATCTCCTTGCCTCTCTTTGCTGTCCCCCTTACCCTGGCAGCCAATACCTGTTACAGTTAGTAGTGATAGAGGAGGAACAACCTAGTGGTAAGATGACTAGATCTGTTCCCAGTGAGCCAGCTGGCTTGCTGTAAAGCCTTAAGACACATTACTTTATACTGCTGCAAAATGGGTGTAAAGAAGTGAACAAGATGTGTCACAACAGAAAGAACTTTGCAGTCAGGTAGACCTGAGTTTGTATTTTTGTTCTTTCACCTGCTAACATTGTTTTATCTCTGTGAGCTTCAGTTTCCTTGAGTATTGAATGAGAAAAATAGTAAGTACCTGTCAAAGTTTTGGCAGAACTAGGAAAATTATGTGTTCATTTCTTCCTAGGCTTGCTTTACACAGAAGCTAAAGCAAAATGAGACAATATGGCAACATGCTCTACTACAGGGATTATTGTATTCCTGGGGATGCTGGGTTGAGGCATGAATGAAAAGAAACATAGCCTGCCAAGTGGCAGGAGAGGACACAGGCAGGCAGCCCGGGACTGGAAAAGCCTTACTTACCTGCTGGCTGCTTCAGTTCATGGAAGATTACTATGTCATGTGGATTATTGAGGTTCTCGGCCAAGATGGAAATTTCTAGGCCATTGAGCCGATTTGCACTGAAAATGGCCTCATTCTCCAGATCAGTCCAGAATACCTTGTCCTGTAGAACACAGATGTAAAGGATAGGGAGCCCAGAATCCCAACTCATGATCCCAGTCTTAGGGCCTAGACCCAAATCAATGATGGGAAGAACTGACCTGACAGTTCCTCAGAGCTACCTACCCTGCCCACAGGTTTTCAGGGGACGTTTTGCCTCTGACAATGATACAAACTCTCCTAGTTTCCTTCTATCGTAGATGATTATTTGGTGATTCTGTACTTTGACCAGAAGGCCAACCCTACTCTACGTCTGAGCTAGGCTTACTCCCTGGAGCCAAAAGAAAACCAAGGTTGGATTTCTATAGCTAGTGCCATTCCTGTGGCTTGGGACTAAGGTCAGAAGGAATGTGTGAGTTCCTGAGGGTTAGCTGCTATTGGGCCTCTGGGGAGGATACATACAAGTTTATATGGTGAGTCCACAGAAACTTAGATATGCATCTGTAGACAAATCCACAATTACAGGTGCAACCATGCATCTTGTCCACAGATCCATCTGTACTCACAAAGCCATGAAGAAAGTTCCTCTATCAGTGTGCATACACATAAAACTACACACACGGGAACATACACTTTTACTCTGGTGCATGTATGTAGATACCTGCACATACACATACTTTACAGCACATCCATGTCTAGTACACTTGAAGCAGGGGCTGGAATTGGAGGAGATACTTTGTTCACAAGTTCAAGGAGCACTGAAAGAAGCTGCTCTAAGAGAGCACAGGCCACCACAGGCCACCATCGCCTCACTCTGCCTTCCCATGATGGCAGGGTTAGTTTGGGGCAGAGCTGCAAGAGTGTAAGAAACTCTGGTAGGTCTTGGATTCCTTACTTTTCAAGAAGAAAGGATGTCAGGGTCAGGGCAGATGGGTTTCTTGACTCTACCTTCTTGAGAGCTTCTTGAGGGCTTGAATAGTATGTATCTGATTTACTTCTATGATCCTGGGATTCCATAAAGGTCAACGGAAATGAGCTGAACTGCATAGCTTCTATACTATACATGTCCTATACAAAATGATTCTAAGGGAACACATATTCCTGTCCCCCTTCCTCCTTTTGTTAGGTGCCTTCTGTATATGAGATGTAGTGGGTTAGGTGCTAAGGATGTGGAGAGGAAGCATTTGTGCTGAATAATTTACCTTTGACATTCTCTGAATTAGGCTCTTGGGGAGAGCAAGCACAGGAAAGGCTGCCAGGCAGGCTGGGCTGCAGTACCTCTGTGTGGGCAGTTCTCAGAGTATATACAAACAAGTCAGTTGGCTTCCCTGATCTTTTGTTTCCCTTTGGACAAGTCTCAGAGCAGCATCCTATTTGAACAAGCCTTTTCTAGGTTTCAGATTCTCAGAAGGGTCATGCCAAACCCCTTAGGGCTCACCTCAAATACAGCTATCCCAAAAGGGTGACTCAGGAAGTCAGTGGAAAAAATCAGCATCTTTCTGTTGCCTCCATTGAAGTCAATGCTGGATAGCTGGTGCAGCTTGGAGTCCACCCAGTACAAACGCTGGCTCAGCAAGTCTTGGGGAGGAGGGATTAGGTCAGACACCAGTTACTGTGGTTGCATCTCTGCCCCACTGTACACTTCTCTCCCCACATTCCCAGGCCTCACACTGAGGGAACAAAGACACTTGGCCACCATCAGGGGGCATTGAAATAAGACCCATGAGACTCCTAACAATTGTCGAGATCAGTTCTAGTGCAGGCTCCCAACTCAAGTAAATAGGCAGGGCTCACCCAGGGTGATTCCATTGGGCCATTCAATATTGTCTGAAACCAGTGTTTGCCGGTCTGCACCATTGAGCCCAGATTTCTCGATCTTTGCCTGGAACCCCCAGTCAGACCAGTACATGAACCTGAAAGATAGAAGAGCCCAAATTTAGCTTCTTGTTTGAGACAATTGGGATGGTCTGAGTCACAAAGGCTTGGTAATCCACTGGATAGTTGGGGATTATATTTAATGGGGAAACTTCTGAAAGCTTTTGGAACTATCAAATCTTATAATTAGCAGGCACTTTTTTTAACTTTCTCATGAGAGCCTTGGGGAAGCTCAGCTTACCCCCAATCTACCCAGTCTCAGCTGAATAGCCTGTGAGTCCAGCCCTAGAACATCTGTGTGAGAAGGGTCCTTGCAAACCTCTCCTGACTTAAAGAGAAGAAGACAACCATCCTAACTCAGCTCCCTGCTCCTAGACCTTCATTTCTACTAGAGATCGTAGCAGCCCACTGTTTCTGATTCATGATTTCATGAGGTTGCTTTCAATAGCTGACCTCAATTTAAGAGGGTTTTCTTATCTCTTCTTAACAATTAAGGATAAGGAGGAAGGAACAGTTCTACTGGGGGAGGAAGAAGGTATTGTTTTGTTCAGGATTCCTAAGCCCCGATCCAGGTGTCGCCAGAATAAAGCAGCCTAGGTAATAAGGGACCCACACATTGAGCAACAAGGGTGGGGAGAGGTGAGTAGCTAGGAGCAGATCAGCGCCAGCCATCTTAGTTGTCAAATGTTACTGGCTGTACTGAATGCATGGTTTATGTAACTCCCACTGGGGAGAGCTTGAGGGGAACAGACGAGATCATGAGGAAAAACTCCACTGTGTAATGCGTAGGAAGGTATCCCACAATGAAATAGTCTCCATGAAAAGTCATGAGTGCTCTGTCCCTGAAAAAGGTTGAGCAGCAGCCAGATACCCACTTACAGAAGCCTGAAGGGCCTCTACCCTGGAAGTTACTTCCAGGACTCTCTGGTCCCGTAGTGCTCCAAGATGTGCCATTTCAGTGATACAGTGAGTGAGCCAAGAGTCCAGGGGAGATCTCTGGTGACTAATGCCCCATACCTTGGCTGGAGACAAATAGGATGAGGACTGTTTGGGCTTCCTTCCCTGTGTCTGACTGGCCTACAGGCTTCTCGAACCCTTGACAGCTCTTCTACCAGACACATGGGAACATCTATGCAGGTGAAATGGAAAGTTTGAATGGAGATACTTACCCTCGCAGGGGGTCAACAGCTATGGCTCGGGGTTCACTGAGTTCACGGCTGAAGAGAGTACATCGGCGGCGGCCATCAACTGTGGCTACTGAGATGGTCTTATTGCCTGAGTCTGTCCAGTAGATGTGCTTATGGACCCAGTCCACCGCCAGGCCCTCTGGAGAATGCAGCTGCTCATCAATGAGGACCACCTGCTCGTCCGGGATACTGGCCTTGTCCATGTGGGCGCTTAGGAGAAAGCAGGGCTGGCCATGGGCAGATGCTCCACCCACGGGCCCATGGGGAGCTGCCTCTGCAACCCTCCCCTTTTGTCTTCTGTCTGTGCCATGGCAGTGGGTTTTAGAGGAACTTGACTAATCTCCACTCAACACATTCCTTGAGCCACCAGGTTAGGGACACAGGCTGAATCAGCTAGTTTCTGGCCTGGTGGAGCTCAATTAATGGGGGAAGAAGCTTGCAGGCAGATAAAATGCAGTGTGGAAGCTACGGCAGCAGGGAAATGGAGACTGCATCGTCCTGCAGAGTGGGAGAAGCCTTGCGGTTGAGTCCTGAAGGACTAGATCACCAGGGGCACAAAAGATGAAGCCATACATATAAAGAGACCAGTATATACAAGTGAGGAAGCAAGCATGTTCTGGAATGATGCAGTGCTTGCTGCAGTAGGCTGCTTATGGGGTGTAAAACTGGAAGTAAGTGCAGGCAAGAACCATATCCTGTTAGCTCTGAGTGCACTGCTAAAGAACTGGATTTTACTTGGGGCAAGAGTGAGACAGGTAACTGAATGAGTCCAAGAACATAGCTGGGAATGTTAGATCTCTGTGACACCTGTGGGATGGATGGGTTTGAAAGGAAGGCAATGAAGGAAGGAAAAGGGATGAGGGGGAGGTTATGTCTGCAGGAGGCTGTGCAGTGCAGAGAGAACTGACTACACAAACACAACAGGGGGCACCAGTAGCAGAACTTTGCTTCCCAAATGCTGTTGCCTCCTTCACCCCTCACCATGCTTTCTCCATGTTATTACTTTCATACTGTCCACTGCCATCCAGAATTTCGGCTCTGCAGTCCTGGCATTCTCTTAAGGTCCTGACTGAAAAGCACTCTTAGACAGCCCATGAGCACCTTTACTTAATGTGTTGCAAACTGCTCATCCCCATTCCTGTCCCTCAACCATAGACTGCCCAACCCCCAACCTCTGATCTCCTATGTGTCCCAAATAAAAGAGCAGCATAAAAACCCTTAGCCTGGGTCCTGAGACTCTCCAAATTAACCTGTGAGTTAGTCTAGGCAATGCCTCATTCAACCCCATGCCCAGTCTCATCAAATCCTGCTTCTCAGTTACATTTGTTGGACAGGCTCTAGTTGCTTCTGTGTATGTAAGTCATGAACTCAGTATGCTTGTGTGCGTTGTGGGAGGCAGGAATCTACATCACAATTGGCAGTCTGCTTCTGTCTTCTTGCATACCCACCCACCCACCTATCCAGTCTTTCTTTCCACAGTAACTCAGGGTCCATCCAATGCTTGATTATCAGCAGTCCTGCCAAGTGGATCTCAAAGGCAAAAAAGGATACTGACTGTCTAAGGAAGCCACATATGGCACCTGAAACAGACCTAAGAGAGAACTTTTTCAAGTGTTCAAGGAGTTTCCCAAGTGCTAAAGTTCACTGCTTAACTCACAGTCAATGATCAGAGTATCCTAGTGTCGACTGGGGTACTACCATCCAGGAGGTTTCCTAACCACCAGATTGGGTCAGAGAAGCTCCTTTCTGCCTTCATCTCATGACTGAAAAAAGGTGTCCCACTAGTTATATGTGGGGTCCTCCAGGCAGAGATCAGATCTTAGTCATCTTGAGTCCTCAGGGTCCAGAGAACAGATATGTAGCCTGATTTGTAGTTCTCCATGGAGATAACCCTTTTCTTTTCCCTTTGTCCTGTACTTCACTGTTAGGCCAGCAGGGGTCAGACACAGTCTAGGATGTGGACTCCAGGCGGTTTTCCCACTACAGCTCTCAGCTGGTCCAGGTTGACAAAGTCCTGGTACGTCTATTGCCACTGTGATTCTGCATCCCTTCTCAAGCCCAACTTTGTCCAAAGAGGCAGAGGCCATGCTTCCTCTGCTCTGTAAACAGCCCCTCCCTCAAGCCTCTCATGGCTGGCTGCAGGGTACATGCCACTTACCTATAGATTTTGCGGTAGGAAAGGTCACACCAGTATATCCGATTGGTAGCTACTTCTACATCCAGTGACACAACATTTTTGAGCATGGGGATGAGACGCGAGTAGTCCCTCTTCACCAGGTCTATTCTTCGTACCTCGTGTCGGTTGGTGAAGATTAGGGATGGGCTCTTGCCAGCTGCCATGCAAGGAAGCAGTGTCAGTGGAGGGAGCGGGGAGTCCATAGAGAACAAGTTGCTGCCACTAGTTTGCTGGGTGAGGCCTCATTTTCCTATGAAGTATGGATGGTGGTCCTACTTCACAGGCTAGAAGGGCAGATGAAATAATGGGTACCAACACACAGTAGAAGCTCCATTCTCTGTTAGATACAAATTCTCAAGTCCATGACTTCCTGTATTCTCATGCCTGTACTGAGGCCTTTTGCAGAATAACCCTGATGCCTCTCTAGCTCATCAGCCTTTCTCCCATCCTGGATTCCAGCTAAACTACCTGCCATTCTGCTTTTCCCCAGCCAAGCTTCACTGCCCCAGGCCCTTTTCAAGTCTTTCCCCTGTCCCACAGCATGTTTCTTTGCAGCAATCACTACTATTTCTGCTTGGGGCACCACCTGCCATCTGCACGAATAGCCCATCTGAGTAAATAAAGGTCCTGGAAAGACAGCCCAGTGGGCTGGGTTCAGTTTGTTGAACCATCTACAGAGAGGCATATATATGTGGCATCTAACAAGATCACATACATACACTGGACAGAACATACAACTGGCCATGTAGCTATCAAACCTATTTTTAGACTCTGGAGTTTGATTTAGAAGATCATGTGGGACCTAGATATTTTTGACTTCCATCTGGAAGGTCACTGTCCCAGAGGTCTTTAAGGACCTTGAACTGCCCCCACCCCCAGGTTGTTTTGAGATGTATCAGGCAATTCTAAGCACAGTTCCCATGTTTTCCGGTACATATTTTTGTGAGCCCTCTGGTCCCTGTTTCTGTGCATTTATGTCAGGCTAATAGGGACAGGATGGGCCCAGTAGGAACTGAGGATGTACAGTGTACACACAAATATACTTTGTGTAGTGATGGAAACTATTTCAAGGCAGAGGCGTAAGAGGGAAGTAGTGATACAAACAGCAGGGAAAATGGGGCTCAAAGTGGTACAGGAAATATGAGGTTCTAGGTTCTAGGCCTGCTCTGTCACCAACAAACCAGAACTTAACCCACCTCAATAACAGCCATGACTTTACCGCTCTGAAATGACAAGCTGGGTTAGAGGGCATCTTGTGAATTTTAATGAGAACTGTATTAGCAATAGGGACCTGTGTGTTTATGATTAGTCATGTCCCCATATAGAAGACAAGATGGGTCATATGTGCATGTATGAATGTATGTTACATAATGTATGGTGTGGGTATTATATTTTAGGATTTATAGGTTTCATGTCAAGTACTGTAGCTACTGTGTTATAGATTATGGAATCTATAGTTCTATCAAGTATTCGTGTGAAACTCCAGACTTTTACTGAACTGTTTAATACCTTCATGTGGAGAGCTGCAGTTTCTTTATACTCAACATGCCCAACACAGTCTACAATTCCTCCCAAACCTGCCTCTTCACCATCTTTCTCATGTACTAAAATAGCAACTCTTTTTTTTTTTTTAAGTTGTTTGTCCCTGGAATCTGTGGCTTATTCTTCTCTAGCATCCCACATTCAATTTATAAGCAAATCCAGTTGGTTGGCCTTCAAAATATACACACATCTGTTCACTTCTCAATATTCCCACAGCAACCATCGTGCTCCAAGCCTTTCTCCTGGAGTACTGCAGTAATATGTGGCTTTTCTCTGGCCCTCTGCAGTCTGCTCTCAGCAATGAAGCCAGGAGGAGCTTAAATGTTACATTTCCCTTCCACACAGAACCCTTTGAGGCTTCTCTCAGAGCAGGAGAAATCAAGTTAGTCTTTACAACAGTCTGGAATGCGTTGGGGGTTGCCCTGGGTCACCTCTGACATCACCTTTCACTAGTCTTGTTCCGGCTACACCAGCTTCCTGGATGTTCCCTCAACATCCAATCATACCCCTTTCTCCTTGGGCTTTTGCACTTTCTCTCCCTTCAGCCTGGAATGCCATTCCTGCATCCTTTCGCCTCCTTTAAGTCCTCACTCAAATGTCCTTTTTCTTTATTTAGTGAGGGCTTCGCTAACTATTGTTTAAAACCATACATAACCCACCACTCTCCCAGACTTTTCCACCATTTCCTCCTTTATTTCTCCATAACCTTTACTATATTTTATTTATGTCTTAATTATTAGCAAAGATATCTGTGTCTTTTGCTGACTGAACCTCTAGTGCCTATAGCAATGTTATTGCATTTAATATAAAGAATTAAATAATTACTTCAGTTGACTGAATGGATCAATATATAGAACTACACTGGTCGTGTTCTTTATGTGAGCTGCCTACACTGGCTGTGTGGTCCACAATTGTGCCCATACCTTGTGCTGTGCAAATGGTTAGAGTGTGGCTCTAACTATGCCTGTGGGTGTTATTGTACAGTGCATCATGCATGTGATATTCACTGGTATTTTGAGCACTGTGTGCAGCAGACCTGCTGTGTGTGTGTGTGTGTGTGTGTGTGTGTGTAACTGCTCCTCACATACATGCAAATCTGGTGCTTCACAGACCCTGCAGAGTTGTCCCCTCTTCCTTAGGAAGTCCGTACCTACAGCTTTGCAGTTCTTGGTCTGTGAATCCATCTCATAGCCAGGGTGGCACTCACACTTAAAGTAGCCCTTGTAATTCACACAGATTTGGCTGCAGGCATCTGGGTCCTGGCATTCATCAATGTCTGTGGGAAAGACCAGACTTCAGAACTGGCAGTAGGATCTCTATCTGCTTGGGCAGATGGGGGAAGGGCTCACCGCCACAGGTCTTCTGGTCCAAGAGCTGGAAGCCTGCTGGACATGTGCACTCAAAGCCAATCTTGAGGTCAGTGCAGATATGGGAACAGCCGCCATTATTGTGCAGACACTCGTTCAGCCCTGCGGAGGGACACAGGCTGCTGAACTCCTCTGACTGGCAGGAAAGTGGCCCAGAGCAAAGCAAAGCCTTGGGGCAGCATACTCCCACAGAACCAGGAAAACAGGAAGCTGCACTGAACCTTTATCTCATTAGCCAGGTGACTGGGAAGGAGGAGGGTCAGAGGGCAAGTCTCTTAGGCAAGACATGGTCAGTGGAACAAGGAGAACACGGCCATGAGCTCCATTCACTACCAGACTAGAGGCAACAAGGCCTTTCCTGGAGCTCTGAGTTCTTTCACAAACACATAAAAAAAAAAAAAGTTCCTTTTTCCTTCTGACCTCTAAGCTTAAGCTTGCATGTCCAATGGCCACCTTGAGATACCCCCAAGAATGTTTTCTGAATGCCTCTGCACATTAATTCTCAGCTTCCAGGAGCCCACTGCGCTCCAAGGCAGGTGATGCCACTTTGGAATGGGGCTGCCTTAGAAATCTCTTCCTCACAGGATCTGCCTCCTGTAACTTTCTTCCCCTCCCAGGTCTGTTCTGTGGGATTGGCCATCCTGCAGGGGCTCCCTCAGAGCTCTGTCAAGTGCTGACTTCTGGTCTCCTACCATTTGCATACTTTCTCAAGGCAAGGCCCAGAGTTAGTTTGCAAATCGGAAGGAGTCAAATAATGCAGAATGCCCTTACTTGTACAGCTGAGTCTTAGGCTAGACTTTCTTTTACATGTGCTTGTGGCTGAGTCCGGATTCTCTCCTACCAGGATTTATACAATGGAGCTTTTTCAACTCCTCTTTGACCTGTCCCATTCATCTACCTTGCCACAAGCCTAGACCAGTGTTACTAAATGTTGCAAAGAGTGAATGGATGTCAAGAGGTCATCTGGATCTGGTTCCCTCATTCTCCACTCCCTCACCACCTTCTGGAGGGTTCTAGGGGAGGCCAGAACCAAGGCTTACCAAGTTCTCACAGCATCTCCTGAGCTCAGAATCACAGAAAGTTAATTCCACAAGCCAGGGGAAAGTACCACACCACCCTTCTGCCCACCAGGCTCATGCACCGTAACTCCAGCCAAGCAAAGCAGAGCTGAGTGGAGCCAGCTGTGGCCATGCATACAGCTGGCTTGAGCTGCCCATCCAGGCCATGCACAGCTGTGCGTGTCCCCACCTCCAGCCGGAGCCATGCTAGGGAATGTCCCCATTACCCCTGGGCCTCCTCCTGTTTCTCTGGAATGTTGGTGCAACTGAAAGAACAAGACCACAGCAAGCCCATGACTTTGGGGGACTGGCAGTGGCTCTGTCAGGCTCATCCCTGGGAAGCCCCAGACTTCTGGAGGTGGTTTGAGCCATGGTAGCTTCGGAGTAGTTGCTGAGACTACTACTGGGAGTCATTCTGCCGTTCCCACCCGTTGTCACCTGTCTTGGATTTTATTATTCCATGAGCACCATCCATTCATTTGTTCTCTCGTTCACTCACTGCCGCATTCATGCATCACCCACTTCCTTCCTCTCGCTGTGTAGGTAGTAGGAACTCCACAGTTCTGTTTACTGGACATTTAGCCAAGTGGTATGTATAGGGTGATGCTGCTCAAAAAGAGCTCAAAATAACGGTGACTTTTGATTTAAAAAAAAAAAAAAGGTATAGAATACCCAAGGCCAGCATAGGTTGAGAAAGGAGAAAACTAAGAGGTCCCAATTAGTTTATCCCTGACCACCTTCTTTAGAAGGCCTGAAGAGTCTCAGTTCTGCTCTAATTCTGTGTAGCCTGTAGGTAGAGCTGGGAGAGGAAGGAAGAGGGTAGAGTGGTCTAGGGGCCTGAATAGCATTTGATGTCCCTTTCCCCAGCACATTACACACTTGCATGCACACACCTTCATGCATACACACACATACCCATACTAGCTTATTGCAGAGGCATAGACAGGTCTGCAGGCTCCACAGACATGGAAATGCAAGCAGAGATGCATGAATGCAGTAATTCAGAGATGTGGTACAGACTCTGGTCTCTTTACCAGCACAGACAAAAAGAACACACAGACACAAACGAGTACATTTTAGCATGTCATGCAGAAGAGAGTTTGGTAGGTTAGTAGTCCCTGGATAACTGCAGATCTGAGTGTGGGGAAGCTAGGTTCAGCTGCTCCTGCTTCTCTATCCTGCTTTTCATGAGTCCCTTCTGGATCTTTTCCAGGCAAGGCCTGAGGGCTGTAGAGTGTTGGTCTCCTACAAGCCCAGGTGGAGGCTCAGAGAGCTTTGCTTAGCTACTCTTCCTGGTTTCATTTTACATCTTCAGAAGGAGAGCAAAGATGCTGATTCTAGGGAGCTCTGGGGGCATGATGCTCCTCTGAGTATCCAATAGGGAAGATGTTGGGCAGTCTTCCAGGGGAGAGGACGAGGAGGGGCCAACCTAGACTGTTTTCTGGGGGCTCCTTTGTCCATTTCTTTGAAATTCTGTCCTGAGACAAGCAGAGATGACTCACAAACTCTTCTGCTCACACCCTGGGCTCCTCCTCCACCTCCATATCAGAGCCTTCGCTCTTGCTAGTCACTGAATAGCTGGCTCACCCTACTTCTCTCTAGTTTAGACTGTAAGTCTGAGCTCTCCCACAAGTTCCAGCTTCTCAGGGTTTAGAATGGTGATACTGCCTGCTGCTGGGAGTACCCTACCCCATCCATCACAAGGAGTGATACTGCATGGGATATACTTCTAACTAGCTCTCCAGCTTCTTCCAACCTTTGACTCTGCAAGGTGTCCTGCTAGGGACTGAAAGAACTCAAGGGCCAAGGCCATGGCTAGAACAGCAGGGCAGAGGCACAGAGGTAGAGAGAAACTTGCAGAGGGCACACAGTCAGTTTGTATAGTTTGTATATGGCAGAAATGAGGCATCTAGACTTCAAAAGAAAGGCTCCCGGAGCTTTGCGGCAATATAGAACATGAGATCCCAGTGGCAAGTGGCCCAATGTTGAGGCTACAGGATAGCATTTGGTCTAGAGGGTCAGAACAGGTATTGAGGGCCTCTAGCCTGGATGCCAGGAGGGAGCATGGTGAGAACAGTAGTTCAGCTGTTAGGTGTAGACAGGTAGCATACCACACTCTTTCTGAGGCTCATCCGACCAGTCCCGGCAGTCCCTCTGATCATCACACACTTTCCCGCCGTCCACGCACTCGCCACTCTTACACTGAAATCTGCGGGGACCCTCACAGGTTGACTCTGTCGGGCCAGACAAGAGAGTGGACAGTCCCTGTGAGACAGTGGGTGGGAAGGGCAAGGCTGGGCAAGGCCAACCAAGGCCCACAGAAAATGAACAGAGTTCAAGGGCCAGCCCTCACAGATCTCTTAGGTGACCTTAGGACAGACAGTGGAACCAGGGCCTATAGGAGCTCTCCTTACAGGACAGAGAGATCCTCATTCAGTCATGCAGGGAGGGGGTCTTTGTCTGTTCTGGGAGTATTGGAGTCCTGGGAAAGACTTTACAGCAGTTCTATAGAGTCTGAGTCTGGGCTGACCATCTCTCAAGGGGACTGTTTGCCCTACACTGCCTCGTTGACCTCTCTAATTAATTCTCCCTATGACTAGTAAGTAGGGCCTCTATTCCAGTAGGGCAGGTGGTGACCAGTAGAGCCACCTGAGAATGAGAGGGACTCTTAGAGGACAGGATTCAGTTTCTGCTCAGTCTGAAAACGAGTAAGGAAACTCTTGGGTGTGGACAAAGAGTGGGGAAGCTAGATTCCCCATGGTGTGCTTTCATGCCCCCTTAGCCCTTTTTCAGCCTTTACAAAGTCCTTAATTAAAAGTCCATTCTTGGGCTGGAGAGATGGCTCAGAGGTTAAGGGCACTGGTTGCTCTGAGTTCAATTCCCAGCAACCACATGGTGGCTCACAACCATCTATAGTCAGATCTGATGCCCTCTTCTGGCATAAAGGTGTACATGCAGATGGAGCACTCATACATTATAAATAAATAAATCTTTTTTTTAAAAAAAGTCCAGTTCTTGTGCCTCAGAAGCCCATGGGAAGGAATTCCAGTGGTCATGGGCAAGTAAGTAATGCTGAAGGGGTAAATACTTATCAGAGGTCAAGGGAAGAACTTCCACAACTCTGCTCCCTCCAGGCCAGGGAGGTAACAGGGCCTATCCTCAGGCTGAGGCTCCATCCTCAAGAGGATGCCAACCCTTGCCTTGAGCACACGCACCCTGCAGGCAGCCAGCTTCATCACTCCCATCTGGGCAGTCGTGTTCCTGGTTGCAGCGTTTGATTGCAAGGACACAAGTCCCATCCCCACACTGGAAGTCATTCTCACTGCAGGGTCCTGGTGCTGCTGAAACAGGGCAAGAGGAGGTCAGGACCAGTGTGGTGCTAGGAAGGCTTTCCCCACAACCTCACGCCACATCCACCCCTAGAAAGAATGGAACAGTGACCGCGCTTAGGAGGCCTTAGAGGACACCCAGCTAAAGCATCTCCAGTGTACACACGGGGAGACTGAAGCTCAGAAAGGGGGAAGGTCTTGCCAAAGGTCACACGGCATTCCAGTTTCCTTGTCCACCACCTCAGCACAGACGTGTGGTTTTCCATTGAGTCCTGGTCTTTATGACTTAGTGATTTGGTTCACTCAGTTGACCTTTCCTGAACCTGGCACTGTGCTGGGTATTGGTGGGGAGCCTGGAGCCTAAGAGCCCTTTTCCAGAAGCTCAGGTGCAGAGAGATGAGAAATGTACAGATGAAAATATCACAGTGTGAATTGTGCCTGTAAGAGAGGGCAGCAGGGATCTGCCAAAGTCCTGGAAGGGACCCAACACAGCTGGGACAGTCAGCAGAATCTGACAGGCTCAGCATGTGGTACTCCTAGGACAGAGGTCTCTGGGCAGGGAGGAACAGTGTCAGACTCCCTGTAACAGGGAAGGGCAGCAACAGGTGTGATGGAATGGCCACACAGCAGAAACACAGGTGCCTGGCTTCTGGGGTCAGATCTGAGCTCCACGCCTTAGCAGCCATGTGACCTCCCGCAAGTCACTTCATTCTCCCAGTGTTAAGTTTCTGTTAAAGCAGGGTATTTACTCCCGGTAGGAGGGCCATATCAGCAGGCTCTGGGTGGGACTGGGTGCATCGAGGGGGCTTACAGCAGTCGGCCTCATCAGACTTGTCCTTGCAGTCACGGTCGCCATCGCAGCGCCAGCCTAGGTGTATGCACTCGCCGCTGCGGCAGGTGAACTGGGTGGTGGGTACACAGGCTGCTGGCGTGGCCATGGTCTCCTGGCCCACTCGCCCGCAAAGCTCGGCTGTCTCATCCGAGCGGTCCTCGCAGTCAAACTGGCCATCGCAGACCCAGCGCTCAGGGATGCAGGTGCCACCTCCTCCACAGCGGAACTCGCGGGGCGGGCAGGCCGGGTCTGAGCAGCCGCGTTCGTCACTGCCATCGCCGCAGTCATCGTCGCCATCACACACGAACACAGAGGCCAGGCAGGAGTGGTTGCTGCACTGGAACTCATGCGGGGCGCACACTGCGCAGGACAGAGAGCCGGTCGGCCGGCCAGATCTCATCCCCCATGACCCAGCCCAGCTCCTGCTACAGGGCTACAGGGTATTCTGACCTTCACCTATAGGCTGGAATAGGTTCTGCTGGAGACTTGAACGGGAGCATGGTATGAGAGACTGCCACTTCCAAGCAGGGGCCTCAGTCATGCTAACTGACCTTGAACCACAGTTGCCCTTCCTGAACTTCACCAAGTACACAGAATTTCTGCCCTGTAGCCAGCAGCCAGGTGGGGCCCTCTTGTCTTGAAGGAGAGGAAATCATCTGTAACATGGCTGACACAGATGAGAGGGCAAGGGTTTGTTCACTGTGGCATGGCTGTATATACAGCTTGCAGAGACTGTTAAGTCTCCTATCTGGCATCTACTACCCGGATCCCCACCCTCACTCCTGACCATACCCCAGCTATGGCCACCCTGATGATTTGCTAGGCCCAGGGCACACAGTTCCCCCTGCAAGATTTTGTTCAAGTTGCTCTATCTTCTGGGAGCCCACTGCTGCCCACCATCGCTTATAGTTCTCAGTCAGAGTTCTTCCCCTGCACAGGTCCCAATTCCACCTTCATCCAACCCATGCTTCTTGTCTCCCTGCTTAGGAAACCTCCTTCTGGCCCAGCCTACCTATGTGCCTCTCACAGCCACCCCACACGTCTGGGTTCCGTGTCCTTCTTCAGAGCCCCCTGCAGGGTGTGGGTGTGGATGAAGTCATTAAAGACCAGGTCCTGGCCCTGTCTAGTAGGCGAGTCTGGAGCTGGCAGGAAAGGCTTTAGAGACCAGCCTGCCCAGGTGCTAGTTTAAAGATAAGAAAACTGAGGCCCAGAGAGGGGAGCACCTTGCTCAGCATCACATGATAACAAAAGAACCAGAACTCAGGTTTGGGGTATTTCCTTCCTACTCTGACCAACCCTCTCAGTTTTCCTATTGTTTGTTCGTTTTCTCTCTGTTTGGAGCGTCTGCTGTTTTCAAGGCACCCACTCCCTCGCCTCCTCCCCTCTCTCAAGTCTTCAGACATTGGCCTCAGGGGTCAGGAATGCTGTGGCTATGACCACCAACAACATCACAGTGGCAGCCCCATATCTCTCCATATGGTGGCGCCCACAGTTCATTTTTCTATTTTCTGGTGACAAGATGCCAATTTTCGTTTTTACTGAACATAAAATAAAGTGATGTCTTCAGTGTTACAGTGTAGACAGACTTTGTCATGTTCTTCTGACAGCTCTACCAAGTTCACGACAGCTGCATTTTCCCCCTTCTGGGTTTTTGGGATGTGGGGGTATCAGAGGGAAAAGCTTGTGCTCTCTGGTGCCACATCCCCCAAGATGCTCCTGCTGACACCTTCCTGCCTGTCTAGACACAGCTTTGCAAACCCAGGGAGAGAAGATTCTGTCTGCTGAGAGTCCTGACACGAAGTGCTCATAACGCTGGATTTTCTACAAGATTCTGAAGCTGACAGTAACAAGATCCCACTACCAAGGCCCAGGGACCCTACTCCCTACAGTCACAAATGCAAGGGTCTCATAGTACTGGAGAAGGGAAGGTTCCTTCTCTGCCCAGGCCACAGGAGCCCAAGAAGCCTTTCTCACACCTTTGGTTCCTATAATTAACAGTAGATGTCCCTGTCCCAACATGCCCTAGTCGGGTACCCCCCTCCTCCAGCAATAATGGATGACAGCTTTATACTGGAAGAATCGTTTGCCTGAGGTTGGGGATGGTGAGAAGAAAGGGGGACTGGCATGGGTGGATGAGTTCTCACAAAACTATCACAGTTGAAGCCAGTGCCGTCACTGGGGCTTTGCTATGCAGACACTAGCCAGGACCCTTGCCCCTATCCATACATTTCCTGCTTCAGACCCATCTACCTTCCACATCTGGAATCTCAGAAGCCTTAGGAGGAGATGGCCTTGCTCCTGGACCAAGAAGGATGGCTAGGAGAGACTGGGTGGGGGTGGGGAGATGCTTTGAGAGGCAGTGGTGGGCAGTGCCTGGCATAGACCCTCCTGAATTTCAGCTCAGTGTCATAGTCTAGTAGCATGGTCAGTCTATAGTCCCCAGGAGAACATTATATGATCAGCTTATCATGCCCTTCGGAACCTTACTCCAGACCTGGCACATAGCAGGTACCCAGAGAAGTGAAATGAGCCAGACCATGACCCCTACTCACAACCCCTGGCCCAAACCTTGCTGGCCTGCTCTCTGAGAAGGAGATAATCCTGTGTTTGAAGTTCAGCCATGTGGAACTGTCCCAGTGACCACTTCCATCTGTCCCTGCTGAGGCTGATGGGAATGTCTTCTGTGTGTGTGATACGTGCCCCAGTCTGAGATTTCAGCAACAGCCATCCTCTAACCCTAGGAAACTGTCGGCACATACCCCACTCCCAGTGCTGCCAGTGCCCAGACACAAAATACCACTTTCACACAGCCCAGGCTTTGGTTCCCCAGTCTTGCTTGGAGATTGGTAGACTTGTAGAATGGATGAGCAGATGTCAGACATGGTAAAAAGCTGTGTGTTAGACCTGAATTTGAATCTCAGTTCATCTCTCAGCCTTGGGCACGTTTCCTCCCTTGTCTGAGCCTCAGTTTCCTCACCCATGAAATGGGGACAATAATGGCTATTAATGAGGTGGTCATGAGGATGAAAGAAGAAAATGTCTCCTAAGAGCCCAGCCGTTTCTAATGTTCTCATCATTATTCTTCCCTTCCCACCTACCAGGCCCCACAGAGAAATAGGCCCCTTTCAAGAAGAGGTCACCACTCCTGAGGGTGCCTGACTGCTTGGCAGACAATGGGATTCTGGTCCTGGACTCACAGGTAGGACAGCCGGCCTCGTCCGCTCCACCCTCACAGTCCTTCTCTCCATCGCAGCGCCATGAAGCAGGCACACACTTCTGGCTGGTGGGTCCACAGCTTAACTTCTCAGCAGGACACTCTTCTCTGTCTGCAGAGACAGATATCCAGATATTTGGGACTTAGCTGAGGGTAACGCAGTATATAGCACCAACCAATCCTGCTACTTGGCATAAGTCCCTAGCAGTCCACCAGGGCCCTCATGTTCCATGTCTCTTCACTGGGAGCCAATCTTCTCTAAAGGCTAAGTCCTAAATCTGACCCCCACCTCACACTGCCCTGCCTGCCACTCTCTCATGGTCTTATCAAAGACATCCAAGTCTTTTTTTTTTTTTTTTTTTTTTTTTTTTTTTTTTTTTTTTTCTTTTCAAGACAGGGTTTCTCCGTGTAACGGCCCTGGCTGTCCTAGAACTCACTTTGTAGACCAGGCTGGCCTCAAACTCAGAGATCCACCTGCCTCTGCCTCCTGAGTGCTGGGGTTAAAGGCGTGCACCACTACCACCTAGCTTCAAATCATTTTTGATCCAAGGGCCCCTACACATTTTTCCTTTAAGATCTCACAATATGGAGCTGCCACACCCTTGCTGTGTGCCTTTGGGTGACATATGCCTAGCTGGACCTCAGTTTACCTTCCAGATCTGTAACTCTATGATTTGAACCTGTGGGTTTGGAGGGCTCACAAAAACCCCCGCAGCAACAATCTTAAGTCTCTGTAATATGGTGCTGAGCCCACCGCTGAGAACAGCCTCCACGCACAGGGCCCAGCGGGACTGCACAGCTATAATTACTGTAGCCGCAATCAGAGGCTGACTCAATCAGGGGCCTAGAGCCCCAGGGTTGATTCTCAGTTTGGAAGAATGAGAACCCTATTCAGGACCGGGGGCAGCTCTTACTCTGAGCTTCCCCTACTCCACATGACAGCTGAGGCAGATGCATCTTCGACCTTTTTGGTTGGCTCCCTGCTGCCTTTTACACTGTGCAGGAGTCCCAGCCTCAGGTCTCTAGATTGTGCCAGGCACAGTGCTAGACATTTCCATTCAATCTTTATAATAACCCAGCAGGGTAAGGATTATGTTTGGACTCCAGCATGGAAAGTGAGAATGTGGGCTCTGAAGGCTGGCTGCTTGGATTTGAATCATAGCTCAGTTATTCACTGGCCACATGGCCTTGGTCTAAAATACTAAAAAGTGTTGACACTGCTGCATAAGACTGTTGTAATGACCACATTAATGTCTATAAAACGTTTAGAAGAACACTCATCCTAGGCTCACTGCATGTTTCCCATTATCATTATCCACACATAATGGATGAGACTGAGGCTTGTTTAACCATTCACTGGATAGCATTGAGCACTGCTGGGTACCAGACTAGATGGTAAGCCCCAAGTTCCAGTCACACACACACACACACACACACACACACACACACACACACACACACACACACACACACACGAGAATGACATGAAGAGGTGGGCAGCTGTGTCTGATACCAGAGACTGGGAACCATTTAGTAAGCGCAGAGGAATGGTAAGACATGTCTCACTCTGATCTCTGATCTGTTTCCTCTCATTTCTGTGGCTGGAATGAGGCGGGGTCGAGATGAATAAAAGTGGGCTGAGACCAGAAAAATGGGCTGGGACAGGTGCGTAACTCAAGGTCCCCACAGGATAAAATTAAGTCATAAGAGCAGCGCCCTCACCTTATAAAAGAAGCCGGAGAATGGATACAAACAAAACGTGGTTTATATACACAATGGGATTTCTTTCAGCCATAGAGAACAAGGTCATGAGCTAGGCAGTGGTGGCACATGCCTTTAATTCCAGCACTTGGGAGGCAGAGGAAGGCGGATCTCTGTGAGTTCAAGACCAGCCTGGTCTAAAAGAGCTAGTTCCAGGACAGCCTCAAAAGCTACACAGAGAGACCCTGTCTGGAAAAACCAAAAAAGAAAAAGTGTGTAAATATGACATAGAAGCAAAATTATCTAGAGGAACAAAGGAGCTAGCGGGAGAGGGAAGGGAAGGAGAATATGCTTAACACAAAATGTACTTGTATGAAAATGTTCATAGGGAACACAGTATCATGTTCATGAACACACACACAATGATAATTATATATAATATAATATAAATGCTCGATAGACTCCATGCCCTCTCTATTCTGAAGGTCTGAGTAAGAAGGCAGCATCTGTGAGGAATGGACCTCACCAGATACCAGTCTGTTGGTGTCCTGAGTATGTAATAGAACTGTATGTACTCGATTTCTGTTATTTACAACATACCTAATCCTGTCTGTGGCAGTTATCCAGAACCAGTTAAGATGCTCATCGTCACCCTCACCCTAACCCTGACAGGCAAGGAGGCCATGAGTACAGATTCCAGGAGCACCATTCTCAAAGGGACTGTGGCAGTAGTGTATCCTAGACTGATCAGGGCAGCAGTCCTAAGGTTCAGAGACATCAAGTAACTCACCCAAACATGCACAGCACATTAAAGGCAGAGTCTGGGTTCCTCTGACAAAAGTCCCATCCTCCCATCAAACCATGCATGGCTGAGAACCAGCCCCAAACTCTCTTTCCCAAAGCCTATGTGACTGAAACAGCCTTTGGTCAGATACGCCACCTCTGGAGGCCTGGTCCTGCAGCCCCCCAGTGCAGCAGGCAGCCGATTGAACTTTTAATGAATATTTATACAGTTAACAGCATAACCTTCCAACAAGGACAATGATTAAATAATCTGTCTGCTTCCTTTCTTTATAATTAATAAGGCATTTGCTGTGTCCCTAAATAGACAGTTCTAATTACAGACTCTCAAGGACCCAGCAGTGCCTACTACCCGTCCCTTCACCCCTAAAGAGTCATGGCTCTTGGAATGCCAGGACAAAAGAGGCCAAGGAGAACCAGTTGACAAGCATCTCTTGGAGTGGTATTTCAGGGTTCAGAGAGAGGTAGGTGCATCCAATACCTGTCTCTCCTACAACCTCACTGCCTGTGCCTCTCCTGTGGTATAGCTCTTCCCCAAAGCTGAGACTCCAGGTTCCAGTCAGGCCTCTCCGCTTTGTAGCTGCAGGAAGTGCTGCTGTGCATCTCCCAGGCAGAGAGGAGAGCCTGGAGAGTGTCAGTTGTTGGCTTCGAGCCTTGTGGAGGGAGCTGAACTGGACCTCCATCCCAGGTCCACGCTGTGGAGCCACTGCACGTGCAGAGACTGCTACTTTCCCTCATGGCTGGAGAGGTCAGTGAGGTGCTCAGCTCGCCTTTGCTCAGGTAGGCTGAGCAACCTGGCCATCTGATGTCTACTTCCAGGATCCTTGAAGCCAGGACCTCCAGGCAGGTTGGTACAGGTCAAGGATCCTGGGATTTAGAGTCGATAGACCTAACACTAAAGTCCACAGGCAAGGCATTTAACTTCTGTGCTCCCTGGGTCTCCTCTGCTGAAAATGGGGTTGGTCAGTGGTTTGCATGAGGTGGTGTGGAAATCCCTATACTCAAAAACCTGGAATACACTGCGTCTCAGGACACAATTGCTCTTGTTCCATCTCGTGCAATGAAAATGTAAATGACTGCTGGGGAGGCTGTTATCACCCCTGGGGAATGCCCAGGAGCTCATATGCCTCATCATGATATGGTCTCTATCCTACTACAGCCTTTCCCTCTGGGACAGATGCTCCCCAGGGACACCTTTGGCCTGCTATTCAAGTGTTTCAGGCAGAAGCAAAACCCTCCCTGCACTGCCCCCTCACACCACTGGTGACAGGGCTTGAAACTCTACCCTGAAGTGACTGAAGGCATTTATTAATTTCCTGAGAATCCTGTCCCAGAAATCCAAATCCACAGGTACTTTTGCCAACTCATAAGTTAATACTCAAAAAACAAGGAAAATGTTTGTACCTAGTGGCTACTCACTGGTCTGTAGTTTTAGAGACTTGAGTTTTAGGGACAAATGAGGATTGCCTGCTTTGCTGCAAGGGGACTGGAGACTTGGGCCATAATAAGCACCAGTGTCACTTGGCTGGGCCCCTGCCTTAGGAATCACACCTTTGCACCCTGACATCCTGAAGGAGCAGGGTTACACTAGGCTCCATCACACAGCATCAGGCAAAATGGGTGAGCTCAGATCTCTAGGCCTGTACTTCTTGACCTTAAGGAGCAGGCGAGCAGAAGTGAGTGGTGAGGTCCCCTTCTAGCTGCTAAGATGCAAGGGGAAAAATCCACACGCAGTATGTAGCACCCAGATCGTTTCCCTGGAACCACTCTCTCCTCTCCTTGCCTTGCCTGCGCCCCTCCCAGCAGATGCCTGAAGGTGGGTCAGAGACGTCCCCAATCAAGTAAGCTATAATTAGAGCCCAAATGATACTTTCATTAGGCAAATGTTCTGGGCTTTCCCATTGTGACTCTGGCTGTATTTGATGAGTACCCATCCAGGTCCCTCTGCTTCTCACATATACAACCCTCCCTCTTTATAATATTTTAATAGTATGATCTAGTGTCCTGATAAACTAACATCGGGGGCAGAGATTTTGAGGTCTAAGAGCAATAATAACACTGGCACTTACTCCAATATTTGTATTTTCTCAGTAGAGTAGCATACCCATTATAAGGTAAATACCATCGTGCTGTTTTAGGAGAAACTAAGGCTCAGGAAGACTAGGTAATTTATATGAGGTTTCAAGGCAAAGGAATCAGATCCCAAACCTACTATATTCTTCTATCTATAATCTTTCTGTTTAGGGGTAAAGAGTAAGCTCTATCCTGGGAGCTGGCATAGTCCCAGAAACCTGGTAGGCTATGGAGGTTGCTATGGAAACACCAATTAAATGGACAGCGGGTTGGCTGTTGGGTTTTCATTCGGTTGGGAAGCTGTGAGTAAGCCTGCTACCAGTCCTGCTGCTCCAAATTCTGCCTGGCCTTCAAGGTCCTCTCTGGCTGACTCTTCCAGGCAGCCCTCCCTAGGCACAGACCCTGTGACCATTGCTTTTGACCAATGCAATGGTTCAGGGATCCCAGACTTTGCACCCCACTGGACAAGGGAAGAAAGTGGGTTTTGAATTACTAAGAATTTAGGAATTTTAAAATGGGGAAATCTATGGGATTCTAAATTGGGACCCATATTGGGCAGGGAATGGGGGTGGGGGCAGAAACGGCCCTCACAGCAATAGCTTGGGATAATCCACAGGGAGTTAGGCCTCTTCAATCCTGGGTGCTTCCTTGGCTGCTGCTCCCATGATTTTCAGAAAGCTTGAGAAGCCTGTCTTTTGTCACAGGAGAGGCACTTGCCACAAACACACTGTGTGTCTGTGAGGCAAGTCTATCAAATTCTTGAGGCCTCTAGCTGCTCACCTGTTCCATATAAGGGGACCTCGGAGTCTGGAGGAGTGGGGAGTGTGGGTCCAGCACAGACCATGAGGTAGAAAGGCAGTGAGCATTGGCATTTTGAGGAAGAAAGACAGGGAGATAATGGACAGGATGGCAGAGAGGGGTGGCAAGAGGGAGGCTGGAGGCAGGACGCACGAGCAGGAAGGGAGGGGGTCCAGGAGAGTGGGATAGGTGAGCAGGCCCCAACAGGGCAAAGAGGAAGCACAAAATAGAGATGTGGAGAGAAGGGGAGCAAGATAGCCCTGCTCCCCAATAATATCCACCAAGCTCCTATCCATGCCCAGGGTCCAGGCAGAGCTGACTGCCTATTAGGTAGGAAGCTGTAAACCATCCCTAGAAACTCCCTAAGAGGCACGTGACTCTGTTCCTTCTCAGCTGAGCAGCCATAGCCAACTGGCCAAACCTGGTCCAGTCTCAGTTTCTGTCTCTGTGGGGGACTCACCACCCTCTCTCTAGGCTGGCATGAGGATGGCAGTCACAGGCAAGTGTGGCGGGGCTTTGTTGTTTTGGAAGGGCAGGAGAAAGCACTGGGCTTCTCTCTGGCCGCACGCTTCCAGGACAGCATGGAGTGGCATTTGGTGTGGTAAGGAAAGGATGGGGCCTGCAGTACAACTGGGGAGGGCTTGGCAGCTGCCTAGGAAATGAGGGGCCCTTTGTCTGGGGTGGGGGGTCTCTCTTGCTCTCCTTTCTCTTTCTGTCTTGGAAACTGGTAGCTCTGTTGCTAGGAGACAAGGAAACCCAGTTATCATCAGCGGCAGCCTTAGATGGGACTCTGGCCTCCATTGTCCCTGCCTTTACCTCTGGGGCAAATGTTAGCCCCAGAGAGGGCCTTCTGGATCCCCGCTTTAGTCCCACCATTCTCCACGTGCTTCCCCCCCAGCCTTTTGTCTCAGGCTCACGCTGCTGAAGCTCTGCCTCTGGACCGCTGGGTCCTACCCCTCCCCCTTCTCATCTCCTTTTTAATTTAACAAATGTCATGGAATGACCTGCCAGGTCGAAGTTTGCTTTGAGGATTAGTGCCTAGAAAAGAAATCATGGCGAGAGAAAGCTCTGAGTGTGGAAGGCAGTCCTGGAGCACCAGCAATGGATCTCACCCCTGGTTCCTCCTGTCACCATCCAGCTAGCCATGAAGGCCAGACCTCCTGTACTCAGCTCACCCAAGACAGAGGAAGGAGCTGGGCCCTTGAAGTCCTGACTGGGTGGCCATGGACAAATCGCTCCAACTCTCTGAGTTTCTGTGTGCCCCTTTTGAAAATTCAGAAAGTGGTAATACCTGCCTCTAGAGGCTGCTCTGAAGATGAAAGGAATGACTGCATACAAAGAGCTTAGCGAGGTGTGGCACACTGTAAATGATTAACAAGCACCAGCTGCCATCAGTGCCACTGGAATTACAATTAAGATCCTCAAGAATGAGAGAAGGGGGCCTGGAAGATGAGCCATGGCTACTTCTGAGCAGTATCTGGAAGCTGATTCTAGCTCCTGGTGCTGCAGTAACAGAGTCAAGCCTACAAGGGAGCTGAGAAGAAAGCCTGGAAACAGGTGACAGACGAGCAACTAAACACTCGACTGCTTACCGGGGCCTCCCACTCCCCAGAGGTCCTGGCACAGAGCACCCTGACGGTCTCACATGAGCCTGACAACTTGCCAACACAAAAATGCTGATGAGGAAACTGAGGTTCAGGGCAAGACTCACAACAAGTGGCTTTAGATTCATCAGATCCATCAGGACACTCCTCCTCGCCATCACACTTCCAGCGCTCCGGGATGCAGTGGCCATTATCACAGGTGAAGTCGCTGTCTGCGCAGGTCCTCTTGGCTATGGGACAAAGATAAGAAAGAGCATAAGGGTCTGTTGAGCACAGAATGTGTCTCTAAGACACAGTCAGACAGAAAACAGGTAGCTAGCTTGTGCTCAGCCTCAAAAGTGTGCCGCCCAAACCTTCCCCAGGGTCTGTAAGTAGGAAGCTCAAGTTCAGCAAGGCTGGCACCACCACTTCCCACCACACCACCTCTCAACTTCTCCCTTCAGGCAGTTCTCAGTCTCTTCACCTGCCTATCCTGCCGTACAACCAGGCCCCTTGGAAAAGCACCAGGGAGCTCATAATCTTGCACCCTAAAAGTAGACGATGATTTTGTGGCAAGATGAACAAGGAATTTTGTTCTTGAAGTTGTACCCAGGTCAGAGTACTTACTGGTCGTGACACCCACATGGGCCCCGCCCTAGAACTCTGCAGGAAGACTCCTGTCCTTCATCGGGGTTTCAGAAACCTGCTGGGCCTCCTGCCATCTGTGTGACTTTGAGGACATTACTAACCTCTGAATTCCCTCTTCTTGACTATAAAACTGGGAGAATACAAAGGGCTGAAGAATAACAAGAAGTTAATGTATGAGGACATGCCATTGGGCCCTGGCACATGGCAGGTGCTTGCTGTCAGTACAGCTTTGGCTGTTTGTCTGGACAGTAATTAGAAGGGAACGAAATGGGGTGCTGTGTGCCCATGTAAGCTAAGATCTCATGGCACAGTAGGAGCCAAGTAGGACTTGTGAATACCAAGTCCAGCCGCAAACTGTCTTGCTGCCCTGTGTGCCTAGTTCTGAGAGAAACAGTTTAGGGGTCAGAGTGGAGAAGAAGGTCATGTCCCAAGGTTTAATAATTTCTCTGTGTTGTCCTGGTGCCCAGCACTGACCATATCTTCAAATAAGGGCAGAACAAGGCAGCTGTCCCAACAGGGAACCTGCCGATGAGCTTGGCTGCCTGCCACTGGCAAGCGTGGAGCAGAGGCGTGAGGACTCAGCCTTTGGCTCCTTGCACCCTCCAGGGCCTCAAAGAGTCAGGGGCTTCTCAACATCACCTGCATTCAGCTTCTGTTCGCTCTACCCAGGCTTGGATTGAGGGTCCAGGAGTGGTGTCAGGAAAGGTGCACTCTGCCTGAGTCTGTGTCTTGGTTGTTCTCCTTTGCCATGTACTCCCAAAGTAAGATACTTTCCCTTCTCTGCCTTTGGTTTCTTCATTGGGAAGGAAGACACAATCTTTTTCTTTTTTTTTAAATTTTACTTTATTTTATGTGCATTGGTGTTTTGCCTGCATGTATGTCTGTGTTAAGGGTGTTGAGTCCCCTGGAACTGGAGTTACAGACAGTTGTGAGCTGCCATGTAGTTGCTGGGAATTGAACTTGGGTCCTCTGGAAGAATAGCCAGTGCTCTTAGCTGCTGAGCCATCTCTCCAGCCCCCCAACACATAACCTTTTGGGCATAGTAGGTAATCACAGGTCCAGAGATCTTAGAACTGGCAGGGATAGTGTCCTTAGGGAGCCTGGGCCCTGGGAGTCCTCTCCCTGAATGACAGACAGTAGGACTAAATATGATGTTAGGGTCATCTGGATACTGCCCCTCTCTAGGGGCTGAAAAGTCTCCCCCTTTTTCTTCCCTCTCAAACTTCCCAATTGACCCTGCCCTGATTATTGTTGGTCCCTACATACTAATAATACCATAACACTGCTCAGGCTGTCATCTGAAAACCGTCTCTAAATACTGCTTTTCCACTAGACGCTTGGATGGTTCTTTCTCCACGAAGCCTTCCCATCACCTCCAGTCTTTGTCGGGGACCTCCTGTGAGTTGCCCTAATCTTCTAAATGGTTCTCGATAGCCTGGTAAACTTGGTGCAGATGGTAGATATTTAGGGCTTTAGGCTGCATAGGCTCTGTCCTGCACATATGGGCTGTGTTTCTGTATAAGTTTGTTTTCAAAGACCAGCAACAGGCTGGTTTTGGCCTGTGCCCTTAAATCTGATGCCCTCTGCTGTAAGTCATCACTGATTCTGTGGTCTGGTGTGGCTTGCTTTTCTCCTGTCCCTCCACAACAGGTACCATATCAGATTCCACAAAGGACCCAGGGCAGACCCCAGGAAGACACCAAGCCCATGTCTGGCCTCTCTGCTCTTACACATCCAGGGCTCTTTCCCCTTGGGAAGTACATTTCATGGCCTAAGGATTTGTTTTGGTTTTGATTTTGATTTTTCTGTCTTATAGCCCTCCAGCTGCCTGGTAGGGGACCCAACTGGCTTCTTTGACTCCACCCCATGTATGCGTTGCTCTTCCATGGCATCCTTACAGTTCATCTATATTCTGAGGAGTTTTCATGTCTTCCTAAGATAGCTGCCTCTTTTTAATTTTTCCAGTTCTCTCAGTCTCTGCTGAATGTTGTACTCAGGAAACCCTAGGATAAACAGCCTGATAATTCCTCACTTGACATAGGCAAGGTCCCAGGCAAAAGTGGTCACATCTTAGGTGGGAGCAGATCTGAACCTGTCAAGTCAAAAACCTGCTCTTCCAAGCAGCACAATCCCCAAACGGTAGCCCATGTGTCAGAAAAGCCCCCCAAATAGTTGAGGAGCCTGTGAGAGACCCCACTATTCAATAAGCCTCTTCCCTGAGAATACAGAGAACAGGAAAGCCAGTCCAAGGAGCTCAAACAAGGGAACAAACCTACCAAGGAGTGAGACGGCTTTTCATGAGGTGATGCAGGGACTCTGTCACTGGGTATAGGACAGCCAGATACCATCCCAGGACCCTTTCTTCATGGGTATTCTGGGAGTGTAGGGGAAAGCTTGGTCTCTCCTTGTATGTCACATTGTGGCAGACACAGGGCATGGACACCATAGCAGCCAAATGTTAAAAATGACAACTTCAGGGATGACCAGTCACGGCAGACTGAGGAGCAGACTGTTTCAGTATCTTGGCAGTTTGATCATTTTTACCAAGGTCTAGCCTTGTACCTTTCATCCCAAATCCTCGAACACCTCATAGCTGTCCTGGAGGCTGCTATTAATCCCTTTTACAGAAGAAACTGAGGTTCAAAGAGGAGAGTGGGTAGGAGGGAGGAGGAGAACTTCAGGGGTCTGTGTGGCAGCTGCCAAAGGTCAGTAAGTCCCTTTCCACTAAGGCTTGCAGCCAGCGGAGTATTGGCAGGTGAAGAGCAAAGACTCCTGAGACAGATGCCCAACCCCAAACCTTGGGGACCTTGTTGCAAGGCAACTGCCAAGCACAGAGGTCTTGCTTCAAAGGTATATATACCCTTGTCATGTGCCCAAAAGTGTATAGCAGAAACCTGGCCTATGGTGATCTGTGCTTGGGTAATGTGCTACCCTGGAGAAACTGAGGCAGCATGATCACTCTCAGGGTTGAGACAAGACTGAACCACCTTTGAAGGTAGAACTCTAAAGTCACATAGAAGGGTCTGGCACAGGAGCTTAAGGTGAGTCCTGGCATGGCCACCTCTTCACTAGGTGACTGAGAGCAAGTCCCTTCTGTCTCTAGGTCGGTAGGGAGGTGGCTGTATTGTTAGCACTGCCTCTGAACAAAAGGCAAAAGAGGTCAGTGAATAAGCACAGCATCCTTGCATCCCTCCAGCATAACCAGGCTAGCCCTGCCACAGAAGAGGCCAAGCAGTCGGTCAGGGCCATCACTGAAGGCCATGCCAGACCCTACTCTCCTGGCCTTGGCTTTGGTTCCCAGGGCAATTCCCCAGCTGGGCTCCAGGCTATGGTTCTCCGTTTCCAGGGATTTATGTCCCTCTGTGCCAGTCTGCCCCTTGCACAATGCCCACCTCTGTGAGTCTCTGTACTCCACACTGCAGGAGTGATACATAGTCATCCAGGGTCTGCGACATCATAATCTGGTGCCATGGCAACAGATGGACTGCTACAAAGGACTTGGGATTCCACAGGGTGGTGAGGAGGGGCCTACCCCAGGGAAGAGCAGAGGACAGTGGAAAATCCAGGACAAAGGAAGTGGGAGCCACTGCTATTTATAATAACACAAGCAAAGGGAAGCATCAGACAGTTCATGGCCAAAGGGACTCTTCTGCCACTTGTGGCTGTGTGACCTTATTCGAGATACACTACTTCTCTGAGCCTCACAAAGCACAGGGTTGCTATGCGGAACAAACGGGATAAGGGTGGTGCTAGGGACTTGTGAACTAAGAAACAAAAGGAGACATGTTGAGGAGTGTAAAGTCACAGCCCGGGCCCCAGCTAAAGGGTATGTGATGCAGGGTTGTCCGTCAACACATGTGGGTGGTGGTGCTCCTCAGGAGATGGGGGTGTGATGCTGATTGCTCCTTCAGCAGCTCTTAGCCCCTATATGGTCTAGCAAATTATTATCATCACTCACCACTCCCACTTACCACCCCCAGAGGTGTCCTTCCTAAAACAATACATCCTCAAGCTGTGGATCCCACCCACACACTCCTGTGCAGAGATGTGGCTTCCAGTAATCCAGCCACCAGCCAGCTGCGCCTCATGGCCAAGAAAGAGCCGAGTTCCCAGATGAGTGACAACTCAAGATCACAGCATGTACCTGTGGGAGGATGCACTTGAGCTCAGGTATTGCTATCTGGGCGACTGTGAGGTCAGGAAGCCTGAGAAGCCTTTCTAGACCACTGGAGGAAGACTGTGCCCAAAGAAGGAGATACCTATTGTGAGGATGGGGGAGGGGAGTGAAGGGCATTCTGGGAAAGGCTAACAGGCCTGGACTGGAGGTACCAGCACGGTCTGTAAGGGACTGGGATGGGGGTAGGGGGCGCAGCAAGTATCATGGAGCCTGTCAGCTCTACCAGGCTAGCAGCCAATTTGCTCTGCCTGGCATCCAACTGCCCTTTGGAGGCCCAGTTTGACCTTGCTTGCCTTGAGCTCACCCAAGGACCCACTCAGTGTCTGGCTAAGCACAGAATTGCTTATTCAGCAGCCAGTGAGAACCATGACTCTGTTTGGTTGTGATTTGGTAAGGCTGCGCAACATGGACCAGTGGCCCCTAGCA